CCCCTTGCATTATGGCAAAGTTGCTGTTTGATTTATCGCCAAGTTGTTGTTTCATTTATGGTAGCCTGAGTAGTTGAATGTTATGGAAACCCTATTGTGACATAATCGGGTGCATGATTCTGGAAAATTTTGAATCATGGGATATTTTGCAAGCGTTTTTGTGGTGTGTGTTGGTTTGATTCTTTAGACGGTAGAATGGCCGAACGTAGTAAGATTAATTTGAAGTTTCTGTACGATTTGGAGCGAAGGGGGAAAAGAGCTTTAATTGACTGGTGTGTAAATGAAGGTTTACTTAGAAGCCATCATAAGTGTCCAGTATGTAGGAAGGATATGCATCTAGTTGAACGTAAAAACCGTTTAGATGGATTTGAAGGAAGAAAGGTTCAGATGGTCACTATGTGAAGCGTTCCATCAGAAAGAGTACCTGGAGTTGAAAAATTTCATTTGAGCATGATTGAGTTATTTTGATGCTTTTACGTGGCTCTGGGTGTACGAAGCGAACTCGAAAATCATGGTAAGTGAATATTTGCTTTTGGTAGTGCTTAAATTTATAACATGTTTTTCCTTTTTTATGTTATTTTATTGAGATTATGTAATTTTTGTTTGCCTTTATTGTAGAATTTGGTGCTCCTTGGACTTTTTAAGTGAAAAATATATTGATGTGTACATGGACAAAGTAAAGGGAGTGCGCAATGAAAGTTTGTGCAATTCAGGGATTTTTTTTTAAGTGAAAATAGGTCGACGCGTACATGGATAAAGTCAAAGGAGTACGCAATGCCACTTTTGTGCAATTTGGAGATTTTTTTTAAAGTGAAAATAAGTCGATGTGTACATGGATACCGAGTTTGTGCAATCGTTTGTCTTGTTATTTTGGCTTTGTGCAGCGGTAATTTTTGGCGCAAAAAATCGCCGCTTCGCAAGCCAAAATAACGAGTCACAGAAGAATTGCACAAAATCGGTATCCATGTGCCTCCAAAAATAGCCAAGGCGTACCCTAAACTATACTTTTACCACTCTGATTTACTGCCCGGGTGCTATATTAATTATCGAATCCTATTTCAGGTATTCCAATTCAATTTTTTAACAAAAATAAAAGAAATGAACAAAAAAGGGTTGATCTTTGGATTATGGTAACTTGGCGATTTTTTGGCGAAAATTTGGCGACCAACTCTCCTACAGCAACACTCTATTTTTTTTTCGCCGCCAATTTGTCTTCACGAAGTAAAGACATGTTTCTTTTCTTTTTATCTACTGAACACTTTTTCCAACAATCTACTAGCCGAATTACACTTATGCTAAAAATTTTATGTAACAAAACTGCTTAATCATGACAAATATTAACTGCAAAATTGGGAAAAGTGCACAATCGCAAACTCCTTGCGCGTTTTTCAGAATAGCACATACACATAAACCATATACACGTCAACTTACTTAAAAAAACATCCCAGAATTGCACAAAACTGGCATTGCACACACTCTTAACTTTATCCATCTACACTGCTATTTTCTCATAAATTACAAAAATTTGCATTAAAATGCAGGAAAATTTTCTTAATCTTTAAACTCGGTAAAAAGCACATATGTGAAATTACCTGATCGCGAAAAAGTATATACCCTTTACAAGGATGAACATTTCCATGTATAAAATAAATAAAATATCCAAAAGCTTTTACCTCTAAATTATCTATTATATTATAAACGTCACCAACGAATTTATACGCAAACGTTAAAAATAGTTACAAATACTTAATGTCAAATATTTAAATTATTTCCATACACGTTTACTTCAACTGAAACTTATACCAAATTCCTACAAACATAAAATTCACAAAATAACTATCATTTAATTAAAATATCACTAAACCATGTACACGTCGACTTATTTTTACTTAAAAAAACATCCCAGAATTGCACAAAAATGGCATTGCGCACTCTCTTCACTATATCCATGTACACCGCTTTTTTCTCATAAATTAGAAAAATTTCATGAAAATACATGAAAATACTCAATGTATACTACTCAAACGTATTCCAAAATACTACAAATATATAACTCACAAAATCACGATCATTATATTAAAATATAATTAAATTGAAAAACACTACTTAAAATATAAATAAGCACGGTTGATCTTTACATTATGGTAACTTGGCATTTTTTTGGCGAAAATTTGGCGACCAACTCTCCTACAGCAACCCTCTATTTTTTTTTCCCCGCCGCCATTTTGTCTTTACGAAGTAAAGACGTGTTTCTTTTCTTTTTATCTACTGAACACTTCTTCCAACAATCTACTAGCCGAATTACACTTATGCTAGACATTTTATCTAACAAAACTGCTTAATCATGACAAATATTCACTGCAAAATTGGGAAAAAGTGCACAATACCATACTCCTTACGCGTTTTTCAAAATAACACATACACATAAACCATGTACACGCCGACTTATTTTTACTTAAAAAAACATCCCAGAATTGCACAAAAATGGCATTGCGCACACTCTTCACTATATCCATGTACACTGCTTTGTTCTCATAAATTAGAAAAATTTCACGAAAATACATGACAATTTTCTCAATCTTTAAACCCGGTAAAAAGAACATATATGTCAGCTATTTATATTATTTCCACGCACGTTTACTTCAACTAAAACGTATACCAAATTCCTACAAACATAAAATTTACAAAATAACTATCATTTAATTAAAATATAATTAAATTCAAAAACACTACTTAAAATATAAATGAGCACATACATTAAATTAATACATACATAAATACCCATTTCGAATTCACTTTAGTTACGGCCATGAGATCCAAAAATTCACGAACACTGTTTCACACAACACAGAATAAAGCCAAATACAAAATTTCCAGATTTTTTCCCGATTTCCCCCCTTTTCCGATTAAAGAACCGTAATTCGTCCATTAATAGCACATGACATATCCCATGATCTCTCATTTCCCTCACATAAAATAATGCGTAATCGGAACTGAGTACTGCTCACATTATTACCAAAGTGCCAGGTAGTAACCTTTATCGCCTCCAAAATGTCGCCAAACTACCAGTTACCATATTGTAAAGATCAACCATAAGCACATACATTAAATTCATAAAAATTAGATTACAATCCTAATTACTTTAAACTAAATCATTGCCAATAACAATTTTCCAATAATACCACATTAATTTATTTACTTCTTACATTTAGAACAATGCATAAAAATAATATCCTCAAAAGAGTAAAAATACTAACTTACCTAATCTTCTTCAGAATCTTCATTACGTGGCACGCACACTTCCCTACAGAAAGAGTTCCAATCGGCTGCAGTACTACTGCTAATTTCTAAATCCGAAATCCAGTAGTCACCTGGCAGTCTATTCACCAAGTAATAAAAATTAATAAAATTTCACCCATACTCAAACTACTTTCAGCAAACCACGTACCCTTTCTTACACACAAATTTAGAATTCACTTTACATTGCGCCATGCAATCCGAAAATTAATCAACACTATTTCACACAACACACAATCAAGCTGAATACAAAATAATTTTTCCAAATTTACCCCCTTTTCCGATTAAAGAACTGTAATTCGTCCATTAATGCCACATGACATATCTCATGATCTCTGATTTCCCTCACACAAAATAATGCGTAATCGGAACTGAGTACTTCTCACATTATTACCAAAGTCCTAGGTAGTAACCTTTATCGCCTCCAAAATGTCGCCAAACTACCAGTTACCATATTCCAAAGATCAGCCAAAATTTCTAAGGTAAACCAGCTGGCATACACGTTACACATGAGGAAATCCACGAAAACGACCATGCAACGAGCCCGTTTACCGAGATTCGAACCCCGGAGTGAACTACCAGTGTTCAGCGACTTTACCGCTCGGCCGTTTGTGGGCCTTTATGAAATGGAAGGCGATAACTTTATTTAAAATGATTGTCAGAAATACCAAGATGTTTCGAAAAGTTAGATGCTTGTTAATATACTTGCAGAATGCCTAAAGAAAAAGAGCAAGAATGAAGCAGAATGCCTAAAGAAAAAATAATTTTTTGCGTAAAATTTAGTATTTGTACATTTTTTTATTTAAAACTTTTTAATCTTATGGTATTTGATTCGTGCGATTTCAAAAATAAAAATAGTTGACTAAAATATGAATAACATTTTAAGAAACCAAATGTAGGATAAAATTGTATAAAGCAATGGGCACAATGATAAAACTGTTTAAAGCAGTGTATGCAAGTCATATCCTAAGTTAAAATGTTGGTTATAAATCTCTCTTATTTATATATATCTTTTCTGAACAGAACATTAAAAGGCATGTTAAGTGTGCTTTACTGTATTTTCTCTTTTAATATATGCAGTTTTCAAATGCATCGTAGTCTGGGTTTACAAAGCATTCTTCCGAAAGAAACGTAATTCAAATAAATAAAATCAAATTCTGGAAAATTTATATTAATAAATACCGTATTTTTCGCCGCATAAGACGCACCCAATTTTAAAGGAGGCAAATCTAGAAAAAGATTATGAACCAAATTCTGTAGTAAAATATTTTATATCAACTGTATAAAGTTATTATCGCCTCCAAAATGTCGCCAAACTACCTGTTATCATATTCCAAAGATCAGCTCAAAAAAGTAATGGAATGTGTGCACCAAATAATTCGTTTTATTATTTCAAATAAAATATGTAAAGGCTATCTGCTTAAAAAATTAAATCTTTTTGGAGGCCTTTCTAATGGAACTAGCTCGTTATTTACAACATACATCAAGAAAACTAAGAAATCATTCATGTAGCCAGCCCTTTTGTTAAGAAATACATGTATGTTTAGTTAGACATTATTTACACAAATATTAGAGAAACGAGTTACATGCAAAATACTTGAAACTTACATAAAGATTTTGAACGTAATGCATTGTGCTTTGCAATTTTACAGAAACAATACTTTATAAGACAAAACTACATATATATGAATAAAATGAATTACAGGAAACGTTGGCGGTGGTTGACCTGATGGAGGTGGTACATCTTCTAGAGATAATCCAAGCGCTTTATTGAAAGCACCCCTGCCTCGACCGCGACCTCTTCCTGCCATTCCGTTCCGTAACAAGGAGGTCTCCGTACACGTGCTTTCAAATAAACAAAACAATATACGTGATGCCAAAACAATTACTCTAAATAACAGGTAAATTGAGAAAAATGTTTGTTGCTGATCCTAACTGCATATTCACAAAGCTAAGGCCTTAGATATTCCTCTCCTTAGATAACCTTAGATATTCCTCTCCTTAGGTAACCTTAGATAACCTTGGATATTCCTCTCCTTAGATATTCTTTGGCTAAGGCTCCTACACAAAGCCTACAGACCATTTCTCTTTGGATGAAACATCTGTTTGGCGGTCATATTTGCAATGGCTAGTTATCGTCCTGTAGGCATGGTAATTAACGCCAAACTAACGGAAACAGCGTTTATTTTATTCGATATTTTTTTAGTTTATGAATGAAAGCTTGGACGAATTGGGAGGAATATATTTTATATAACTTACTGATCTTATTAATAGGTTATCTGTATTTGTTTATCTGAATTAAACTTTTAAAAGTACGTAAAGGTTTTCACATGGAGAAAAAGGTTTTCACATGGAGATAGCATATGCACTTTTTCGTCATTTCTGTCAAAGAATTTCTAGGTTCTGTAACCCTACGTTTCCTGTTTTAACCAATCAGAGCAAACAGCAGTAAAAACGGTCTGTAGGCTTTGTCAATAAGCATCATAACTTAAGGCTCCTCTAAAGCCTATAGGAGGCTTATCTAAAGTCTATCGGAGCCTTATCATAACTGGGGCCCTAGTCTGGACACTGTCGAGATAAAAGAACGGACCGTTTTTTTGCGATCTACTCGACAGAGAGCGAGTCTGGTGTCATCGTCTCGACCATTACAGAGATCGATACATCGGAAATTTTTCCGTCAGCTGTGTAGCTGCAGTAGAGTCGGTGTTGGTAGCTGCCGTTTATGTTTCTGACTGTCGTTTTAGAGCTAAACTGAGGACGGCGTACAGTCGGTCACAAAAGTATTCGAACACCGGCACCCATTCAGAAAATTTACTTTTCCGTTGAGAAACAAAATTGTCTCCAGAGTCCATCTTGGTTCGATATAAAAAAAAAACAAAAGGATGGCTCATGTCCAAAATTGGCTAGGTGCATGAAACAAAATACAACATGACCTATCTGGGTGAGATGGGAAACAAAATGGCTGCTCACGTGATCCATTATTGCGCTCATAGAAAACGCAAAGTGTCGCTGCGGCTCGTCTCGGTTCGCGAAGAGTGAAAACCCAAAACGTCTGCAGTGTCTATCTTTGTTGGATGAGAAAACAAAAGGATGGCTCATGTCCAATTTATTTAGGTGTGGGAAAAAATATAAACGTGACCTATCTGGATGAGATGTCTCCAGCGATCCAGTATAGACTTTTTCCCCATCTGCAATAGGTGACATCTATAAACAATTTCATTGAAATCTCCTCGAAATATAAGAAACAGCTAGCTCGGGAAATTGTAAGGTATTCCCAAAAGAATTCCACTTCTTGAAGAAGGAAAAACATCCTAGCTGCAGATGAGGTAGAGAGAGAAAAAGCATGTTGCACCATGGAGAGCCCGCACGGTTCTGAACAGAAAACGTGGAATGCTTTTATAGAAAAGAGTTGAAAGTGAAAGTAAAAGCCGATTGGAAATTTTTCACTTGGTTGCCGACTGGGAAAAAAATTTTCAGAGCTCAGAAAAAAATTCTGAGATGTAAAAAAAAAAAAAAAAAAAAAAAAAAACTTTTTGTTAATTTTTATCATGTCTTCTAGACATGATAAAAATTAACCCTACCCCCCTTTTGTCTGGGAATGTTGTCTCTCACTGTTTCTAAAAATAGACCATGACTCATTCTAGGAATTATATGTTTTAGAAAGGATGAGTCATGGTCTTTGGGTTTCTCCATTCCAAAGTAAACAAAGTGAAGACATCAAATTAATAGAAAAAAAGGAAAAGAGTTTTTTTTTTTTTTTTTTCAGCTCTGGAAATATTTTTCCCATTCAAAAGCCAAGAAATATTTCCAGCCAATACAATTTCATTTTTACTTTCACTTTCAATTCATTTCTTATATCTATAAAGAACATTTCATGTTTCTGTTCAGATCAGTGTGGGTTGTTCAAGATGCAGCAACTCTACTCCATCCCAAACCAGGAAAAAAAAGATGTTCTTTCATGAGGAATTCTTTTTGGCTTTCGAAAACAATGATGACATGATGATTGTAATACATTTCTGTTCTCATGTCCCATACTTGAACTCAGAATTATTTCCAGAACTCTGAGAATTTTTCCTAGTCAGCTCGATGACCAAATTTCGTATATTTATTTTTTAAGCCACTCGAGTTTCGACTTCCCATCCGTGTGTGCTGTGCATTCAACCTGGAGACACATTCCCTGAGCTCTAAGAAAATGTTTCCCCAGCCCACTCAATCGCTGAAATGGATTAAAAATAAATTTTTCATACATTTTTAAACCTCAAGAGTGTTAGCTGTCATGGAAAGAGCCTTTTTTTCCCCTGAGCTCTAAGAAAAGTTTCCCAGCAGACTCAATCGCTGAAATGGATTAAAAACAAATTCTTTCATACATTTTTAAAGCTCAAGAGTGTTAGCTGTCCTGGAAAGGGCCTTTTTTTTTCCCCAGCCCACTCAATCGCTGAAATGGATTAAAAATAACTTCTTTCACATACATTTTTTAAAGCTCAAGCGTGTTAGCTGTCATAGAAACTGAAATTTATGTCATGGTTTGTGTCTCACACCCGTCGTTCAAAAGGTATGGTTTGAGGTGTCTTTCAATATCATGACATCTCCTTTTCAAATAGGATTGAAGGATTTTTCCTTAAACTATGTTGAAATCTTGTTGCCATCCAAACCACGGATGGGGAAATTCTGATTCATGGATGGTCATCCAATTTCGCTAGAACCTGATAAACGGTTGCTGATGAAATCCAAACGAGGGGCCCTAGCTTGTCAAACGGGAAACATTTTTCCCCCTAAACAGGAGGAATGATTTCTATTCTGTGAGACATTAAAAAGTGGGAAAAAAACTTGTGTTCACAGAAGCTCTTTCTAGAAGAGTGGTTCCTGGGTCCAGATGAAATAGGTAGAAAGAGAAAAAGCATGTTGCACCTTGGACAGCCCGCACGGTTCTGAATAGAAAACGTGGAATACTTTTATAGAAAAGCGTTGAAAGTGAAAGTGAAAGCCCAATCGTCTTGGCTGGAAAATTTTGACTTGGTTGTCGACTGGGAAAAAATTTTTGCAGAGCTCAGAAAAAAAAATTCTGAGATGTAAAAAAAAAAAAAAAAAAAAAAAAAAAAAAAAAAAAAAAACTTTTTGTTAATTTTTATCATGTTATCTAGACATGATAAAATTTAACCCTACCCCCCTTTTGTGTGGGGAATGTTGTCTCCCTGTTTTTAAAATAGACCTGTTATATATGTAACTGTAACTGTATCTATTATTATCTTAACCATAGCTGTAATATAGAATAGTTGATGAGTAATGTAGAATAAATGATGTTTGTGTACATCTTGTAATCATAACTGAGCAGTACCCAACACATATAAAATACAAACACATGGCGCAGCCCCGTTGATTAAAAAAAGAAAATCTTTTTCAAGAACCATGCAGCCTCGGTAAAGATTTCTAAACAAAAACATCATGGGGAAGTTTGTTTACTGTGAAATCGAAACTTATATCGCTGGTAAGTGAGTTGTTTTTTTATTGGAAGTTACTAAAAATACGTATATATAAACTATTTAATGTCCTAAATTAAATATGGATGGATTAAAGCCACCAAGTAATAAGTTTCGAAGGAAATTTAGGCGAAAATGGAAGAAATGGAAAAAAAATTCCAAATTTATATGTTAGCGTGTGGTGGTATTACTAAATCACCTGAAATTAAAGTAGCTATTTTATTGCATATAATTGGTGAAGAAGCACTTGAAAAATTTTAAGACTTTTAATTTAAGTGAAGAAGATAAGAAGGATGTTGATTGAAAGTAACTTTGAATCGAAGCAAACAAAGTGTTGAAAACATAGAATATTTTTTCTCGAACACAACATGTAGGTGAATCGTTTGATGATTCTTAACCGATTTAAAGAAATTAAGTAGCAACTGTGGATTTGCAGAATTAAAAGATAGTTTAATAAGGGATAGAATAGTAAGTGGAATTCTAAATAAAAATCTCAAGACAGATTATTAAGGGAAGATCAGTTAACATTGGAGAAATGTATTAAAATGTGTAAAGCTTCTGAATTAGCAGAACTTCAGCTGAAAACTTTAACTGAAGAAAATAAAATAGAAGCTATCAAACGTAATAAATTTCGACCTTCAGAGGAAAAAAGTTCAGCCTTGTAAGAAAGACTATCATGTAAAACAAAGTACTAAATCTTCTTCAAACTATCAAGGAAATAAGTACAATAATCCAAAACCATGTAGAAAATGTGGAACTTTTCATAAGTTATACAACTGTCCTGCTTATAATAAGATTTGCTTGTACTGTAAAAGAAAAATCACTTTTTAAAATGTGCACTTTTAAAAATGTTAATGTTGTACAGAATAATTTAGAGCATGAGTTATATAATAATGGTAATGAATATATTTTAGGGTCAGTAGAAGATATAAATCCATTTTCTAAAAATAAACCGAATGGTTTGAAAAACTAAAAGTAAACATATCTAAATATTTATTTCTTAAGTTGGATACTGGAGCTCAGTGTAATGTGCTACCATCCTAAATTAAACAATTAAATTTAAGAGAGAAATGTTTGACTAAATCAAAAGTCACTTTAAATAATTACAATGGTACTACAATTGATGTAGTTGGAAAATGTAAATTATTATGTGAAACATCGAAAGGGACAAGGATGAAATAGAATTTCAAGTTGTAGCATGTGATAAAAATGTTCCAGCTATTTAGGGTTACCTACATTGCAAAAATTAAACCTAATACAAAGGATTTGTACAGTAAATCCTGATTCTAACGAAAAGTTACCAGAACTTTTAAAAGGATATCAAGATTTGTTAAAGGAACTGGGAATTTAATGGATATACATATCATATTAAATTAAAACCAGAGCTGTTGGTAAAATAGAACCCTGTAGGAAAATTCCACTTAGCTTATTAAATCCATTAAAAAAGGAATTAGCAAGAATGGA